CATGACTGGAAATTATTTGCTGTTCAAATGTGTTTACATCAGTCTCCAAATTTTTGTTGCAAAATCCAGAGCCAGACAATAACATGAGTTTTATTCTTCTTCTTCGCGTTCACCAGCTGTTAACTCTAGAAAGTTCTGGTTGTTCATCCACTTCTGGACTGCAGTCCTGTTCCAGAATCTAAATGTTGCGCGTGCATCCGTTTTACATATCTGACTCATTTGCATGCAGACTGCTGGTTCCGTGCCTCTCAGGTAAATGCACGCCAATTTCGAAGGAAGCCCCCAATTAGTCGACTCTTACGACATGCTTTTGGGTAGGCAGTGGGTCTGTTCTTGTTTTCCCTATAACAGGGCACTGGAACCGACGCGATAGAAAATTAGTTTAAAAGCAGCGATTTTTTAGCACACCAAATTGTTCACTACTTATAAACAATAACCAGTCAATTTTAACATGGAATAAAATTATGCGTCTACAGAAAAATATATTGAGGTATTAAAAAATTATTGCGTTTCAAGAAATAATCATAAAAGTTTGCGAGAAAAGGGGAAGTGAAAGCTGATTGTGAAAATGTACAAATATGCGAAAAACTATTTCCGATTTAAAAAGCCATATTTGATGGAAAAGTTGCATTGATTCGAGACATCAAAGGGTGGACAAATTGTCTGATGTGAGAGATTAGCTCCAAAGCAGGGTAGAAAAAGCGTTATAAATACATTAAAAGTACTTTCATTAAGGCCACAGCAGTTTTTTTATGTAATAATTTATCCTCTGAAGTGTAAATTTAGTCCGTATGATTGCTCTTTTTCTTTACGTCCTCTTTTACCACTTTGGGTGTTGAGGTAAGTTTCTGCTTCGTGCTTTTCCGGCTGATGCGACCATGGACACATTGTTGTACTATAGAATTTTTCTGATGTTATCCTTCCATTTTGATCTTGGTATACCTCTTGCTCTACGTCCTTCTCATTTTTTTGTTGGGTATTTGCCTTGAATGGTATAGTGTAATTTAGAGTTTTTTCTGTGCCGACTTTATCTCGTATAACCACATTCCTGATTTTATCTCTTCTGGCCACTCCTACAGCCTTTCTCAGACACCTTATTTCTATGGTTACTAATTGTCTTATCTGTTTTGTTGTGAGTGACCACGTTTGGCACTGGTAGCATAGAGTGGGAATGTCTCTTTGTGCTGACCGGGATTGCCTTATGTGCTGCAAGAGGTGGGTTAGCTGTCCCAATACTTGGCCAGTTTTACTGCATCGAATGTCAATGATTGTTAAATTAAACAAATGATACAGACCGTATAGGTAGTATTGGTGGTAGTAGTAATTGTCACAATGGTAGTAGAGATAGTGGTAGTCGTAAATGCAGTAGTTGTTATTGTTGTAGTAACTGTAAAAGTAGTAATGGTTTGTTATGGTTGTGAAAACAGTAGGTGTGATAGTGGTAAAATAAGTAGTAGTAGTTTTAGTACTAGTGGTAGAAGTAGTTGCATTAGCAGCGACATTTATAATATTAGAAGTACCAATAGTATTAGTAGTAGTATTTGTTGTTAATGTTACAGCTCCGTGCTCGGGGCTGCGTGGTCTTGAGGCATAGTATCCGCCTCGAGTGCTAGAGGTCCCGGGTTTAATTTCCGGGAAGAGCTGAGATTTTTCACATTGACTTGGTAATGTGATCAGACGTCCGTGTGCATTGTTGCGCAAGTAAAATATCCACTAACAGTTGGAAATCGAAAAGCGTGCCAACGGCGCTGCCCCGAAAAACTTTGGAGTTACAGAGCCTGTGCACAGAGCTGAGCTTCTTCAGACTCAGACTTGAGTTAAAAGAAAGAACGTAGCACTTATGGGTTACTACCCGTGATAGATGATGTTGATCCGGTGGTGGTAGTAATAGTGGTGCGGTGGTGGTGGTAGTAGTGGTGCGATATTGGTGGTTGTAGTGGTGCGGTGGTGGTGGTAGTAGTGATTTTGGCTATAATGCTGGCGGTGTTATAGTGGCCACATTTACTGTGAGTCAGTGAGTGAGCGAGTGAGTGAGTAAGCGAGTGAGTGAGCGAGTGAGTGAGTAAGCGAGTAAGCGAGTGAGTGAGTGAGTGAGTGAATGAGTGAGTAAGCGAGTGAGTGAGTAAGTGAGTGAGTGAGCGAGTGAGTGAGTAAGCGAGTGAGTGAGTGAGTGAGTGAGCGAGTGAGTGAGTAAGCGAGTAAGCGAGTGAGTGAGTGAGCGAGTGAGCGAGTGAGTGAGTAAGCGAGTAAGCGAGTGAGTGAGTGAGCGAGTGAGTGAGTAAGCGAGTGAATGAGTGAGTGAGCGAGTGAGTGAGTAAGCGAGTGAGTGAGTAAGCGAGTAAGCGAGTTAGTGAGTGAGCGAGTGAGTGAGTAAGCGAGTAAGCGAGTGAGTGAGTGAGTGAGCGAGTGAGTGAGTAAGCGAGTGAGTGAGCGAGTGAGTGAGTAAGCGAGTAAGCGAGTGAGTGAGTGAGCGAGTGAGTGAGTAAGCGAGTAAGCGAGT